CGTCGTGTAAACGAGATTCGATTTTGCAACCGGTAAGACAATCAAGAACGCCTGACACAGCGGATTTTGTTTATAATAGAAAGCAAGTCTGCAGAGGAATCGAGCTGATGCAAATCGCGTGAGTAGCAGAAGAAGTTAAAAATATTTTGCAAGTGTAACTTGATCGCCAAGAGAGGTCTATAATAAGAATATCTTATTTACCATTTGACCATTCTACCACATTATTACGCTACCCGTTCCTATTAATCGCGATTATTCCTGCAAAACTCATTTTTTTATATATTGCAATCTTATATTAATATCTAATAGTAAAATATACAAAAAAGTAACAGAAATTGTGTGTGTGTGTGTGTGTGTGTATATATATGTGAAATTGCATGTATTGTATGTGTGCGTGATATCTTTTATGTATCCAATTAATAGTAAATCACCACATTAAACCGTGCGTGAATGCGCGGTTCACGTTTAAGCTGTGCAAACGATGCAACGTAACGATCGTTTTACGAAAAACAAAGAGGGTTTTATAAGTTACCTGCTGCGTGAACGCGGGATTGGGTCTCTTCGTGTGCGGTCTGGTGTACTGAGCTGGCTTCTCCTTCGGATAGTTGGTGTGGTCGGTCCAGGACTTGGAGCGATGAGAGCCGCTGTGTCCCGAGCTGTGGATATCCTCGTCGGAGTGTCGCTCAGGCGCGCTCGGCCACGACGGATATTTCTCGTGTCCCGGGCCGTAACACACGCCCTTGAGACTGGAGGCATCCCTAACTGGCGGCGTCGGCGGTGGCGAGGCTTCGTCTCTCTCATTAAGGGGCAGCGTGAAGCTGTCGAATCCGAGGCTCTCGCTGTATCTAATGGAACAGACAGTTATATGGAAACGTCGCGTTAAAGTGACACGTACTACGTTGTATTGCAACGGCAAGAGAGCCGAAGCAGAAATAGCGCGCATGACGCAACATTCCCTCATACGTGGAAACAATTACGCATGGACGTCAAATCGTCTGTTTATTAGCGCCCCACCCAATGAATCACTCGTAATATGCGACACTCTCGACCGCGATGCTTTTACGCGCAATGTCATTGAACCACTTTATTACCAGGATGTGTGCGCGGACTGCATAATTTATGGTACAGTCAACGGATTCAGCGTAATTCGTGCGGTAATCGAGGTATTCCTCCGACGTTGCGTCCTGCCGTTTTATTCTCTCGACAGTATACCGTTTACGTCGGAAAAACTGAGACATTTCCTTCGAAAAAACTGAGACATATCCTTCCGGTTAAATACATCGGTATGTTTGTAACGGTCGACAATCGCGTGTAATATAATTGTTTATATACAAATATATAATCTTATAGATAATCTTATTAGGTACTACAGAGTTCGCGATCTGAATTTATAAATAATTTCTTTCACAATTGACGGATCTCTTTATTTGCGATAATTCGCATCGAAGAAAATAGACAAACGAGAAGAAGACTAGGCATAGAGTTTGCATTGCATGAGTAGACGCTGAAAAAAAAAACCTCGGCATATAATCGCGATGTTCTTATAGCCCGTACCCGCTGTCGTTCTTATAGCCCGAAGTATTCTTCTTGTGACTGTCGTTGTAACCGGCAACCGCGGCAGTCTTCTTGCCACCCTCGTGATCGTTCCCCTCCATGCTGGACCTCCGTCCGTCGTTTCTGCGACGATAGTATTCGTTAAGAGCCACCGGCCGAGGTGGACTCTGCTTAAGGCCATAGCCTTCCTGAGAATACGATGCGGCACTCTTGAAATTGGCAGCCTCGCTACCGTGGCCGTGGCTCGCGTAAGACTTGTAAGATCCCGGGGGACAGGAAGGTGGGCCTGGGGCCTCATCCTGGACGCGATATCCTGACGGCGACGGTTGCAGCTCCGTCATCGTGTAACCGACGTCCCCGCCATCCGGGATACACCTAAGTGGGCAGAAAATTAAAACCGTTGAGCTTCGACGTTTCTATGAGATAAAATCTCGTGATTAGATAGTTACGTAAAATGGATTAAATGATTATACGCGCAAGTATAACGGAATCGATCGTAGCGTTTTAACATATTTATGAGATGCGTTTGTGCGTGTATATAAATTAAATGTGACATGAACACTTTATCAATCGAACGATTTAATCTTCTTTATATCACTAAATCATAATGCTATGTGCATCGATTCTGCTTTTATAAATGCAAAATTTATTCCGGTATAGCATTAGTAAATATTTCAATATTGTAAACATATAAATTACTTTTACATTTATTTACACAATGCAAATATATTTTGATATGATTAGCGTATGGTAGATATATATTTCTGCATCTAAATCTCATAGAAACAATCGATTGTAATCTTGAATTTTTTGACATCGCGTAATACACGATTTATGTTGTTGTGGATATTTATTAGCAGTCTAAAAGATGCCACATTATACTAATCTCACTTTGTTCGCGGGACGAATTACATTATCTGGTAGTAGATGCGAGCTTGTAAGACTGGATGGTAGGTGTGTCGGTTACAAGATAAAATCCGAGGTAAACGTCTTACGGCTGCTTATTTAACCTTTGGACGAGTTTAGAGACACGTATACGTGTAGTTAACTTTCAAATGACAGAGAAATAATGAGTCGTGTTAATAGAGGTGCACTCAGCGTGATTGATGAAACTGATAGATAGAATACTATTTCCGAGTCAGGGGTCTCCAGAGCGCGTGAATGATGACAGCTTTTAACGGAGGAATACGAATGCTAAAAAGTAAAATAAACGATCGCGCATCTTCAGTGCGGAAGATATCGCCATGTATGAACGTTCGCTTAACTTTTCGCCGAGCAGGTTTTTATCAGCTCTGCGATTAATTTAAAACATCCTGGATTACTCATAAATTACGGCGAGCACACTTTGGTTAATTTAAATTTTAAAACGAGTATATAATATATATTTCTCTCCAAGACGACTGCGGCTGTATCTTGCCAAAACAACGAATCTAATACCGTGTTTTTAAATTAAAATTAAGGAATACGGGTGGTCGGTATTAATTGTCGAAAAATGCGGAATCCTCTTACACGAGACGCACAAGAAGAAACTGCCAACGCAAAAAAGATCGCGAGAACAAATTTTGGAATCGATACTCATCCCGTACGTGTATTGTCTGCAATGTAGTTACTTCCACTTTCAAAGATTGATGATATTATTTGTTGAAGAGTCCTCGTCGTGCCATCTCATGATTAAAGAATACGTTTCCGTCATTTTTCTATAATATATTCTATGCGTCACGAAAAAAAAAGCGGAAAAAAACGTGAGCGGCCAGAATGATCTCACGCAAAACCGAGAGCATCGTTTCGCGGACAGTGAAATTTTGCAATCTTACGTGCGGTGAAACGTCTTGGAATTGACTGCCCTCAAGGCACGTCGTGTAAACGAGATTCGATTTTGCAACCGGTAAGACAATCAAGAACGCCTGACACAGCGGATTTTGTTTATAATAGAAAGCAAGTCTGCAGAGGAATCGAGCTGATGCAAATCGCGTGAGTAGCAGAAGAAGTTAAAAATATTTTGCAAGTGTAACTTGATCGCCAAGAGAGGTCTATAATAAGAATATCTTATTTACCATTTGACCATTCTACCACATTATTACGCTACCCGTTCCTATTAATCGCGATTATTCCTGCAAAACTCATTTTTTTATATATTGCAATCTTATATTAATATCTAATAGTAAAATATACAAAAAAGTAACAGAAATTGTGTGTGTGTGTGTGTGTGTGTATATATATGTGAAATTGCATGTATTGTATGTGTGCGTGATATCTTTTATGTATCCAATTAATAGTAAATCACCACATTAAACCGTGCGTGAATGCGCGGTTCACGTTTAAGCTGTGCAAACGATGCAACGTAACGATCGTTTTACGAAAAACAAAGAGGGTTTTATAAGTTACCTGCTGCGTGAACGCGGGATTGGGTCTCTTCGTGTGCGGTCTGGTGTACTGAGCTGGCTTCTCCTTCGGATAGTTGGTGTGGTCGGTCCAGGACTTGGAGCGATGAGAGCCGCTGTGTCCCGAGCTGTGGATATCCTCGTCGGAGTGTCGCTCAGGCGCGCTCGGCCACGACGGATATTTCTCGTGTCCCGGGCCGTAACACACGCCCTTGAGACTGGAGGCATCCCTAACTGGCGGCGTCGGCGGTGGCGAGGCTTCGTCTCTCTCATTAAGGGGCAGCGTGAAGCTGTCGAATCCGAGGCTCTCGCTGTATCTAATGGAACAGACAGTTATATGGAAACGTCGCGTTAAAGTGACACGTACTACGTTGTATTGCAACGGCAAGAGAGCCGAAGCAGAAATAGCGCGCATGACGCAACATTCCCTCATACGTGGAAACAATTACGCATGGACGTCAAATCGTCTGTTTATTAGCGCCCCACCCAATGAATCACTCGTAATATGCGACACTCTCGACCGCGATGCTTTTACGCGCAATGTCATTGAACCACTTTATTACCAGGATGTGTGCGCGGACTGCATAATTTATGGTACAGTCAACGGATTCAGCGTAATTCGTGCGGTAATCGAGGTATTCCTCCGACGTTGCGTCCTGCCGTTTTATTCTCTCGACAGTATACCGTTTACGTCGGAAAAACTGAGACATTTCCTTCGAAAAAACTGAGACATATCCTTCCGGTTAAATACATCGGTATGTTTGTAACGGTCGACAATCGCGTGTAATATAATTGTTTATATACAAATATATAATCTTATAGATAATCTTATTAGGTACTACAGAGTTCGCGATCTGAATTTATAAATAATTTCTTTCACAATTGACGGATCTCTTTATTTGCGATAATTCGCATCGAAGAAAATAGACAAACGAGAAGAAGACTAGGCATAGAGTTTGCATTGCATGAGTAGACGCTGAAAAAAAAAACCCTCGCATATAATCGCGATGTTCTTATAGCCCGTACCCGCTGTCGTTCTTATAGCCCGAAGTATTCTTCTTGTGACTGTCGTTGTAACCGGCAACCGCGGCAGTCTTCTTGCCACCCTCGTGATCGTTCCCCTCCATGCTGGACCTCCGTCCGTCGTTTCTGCGACGATAGTATTCGTTAAGAGCCACCGGCCGAGGTGGACTCTGCTTAAGGCCATAGCCTTCCTGAGAATACGATGCGGCACTCTTGAAATTGGCAGCCTCGCTACCGTGGCCGTGGCTCGCGTAAGACTTGTAAGATCCCGGGGGACAGGAAGGTGGGCCTGGGGCCTCATCCTGGACGCGATATCCTGACGGCGACGGTTGCAGCTCCGTCATCGTGTAACCGACGTCCCCGCCATCCGGGATACACCTAAGTGGGCAGAAAATTAAAACCGTTGAGCTTCGACGTTTCTATGAGATAAAATCTCGTGATTAGATAGTTACGTAAAATGGATTAAATGATTATACGCGCAAGTATAACGGAATCGATCGTAGCGTTTTAACATATTTATGAGATGCGTTTGTGCGTGTATATAAATTAAATGTGACATGAACACTTTATCAATCGAACGATTTAATCTTCTTTATATCACTAAATCATAATGCTATGTGCATCGATTCTGCTTTTATAAATGCAAAATTTATTCCGGTATAGCATTAGTAAATATTTCAATATTGTAAACATATAAATTACTTTTACATTTATTTACACAATGCAAATATATTTTGATATGATTAGCGTATGGTAGATATATATTTCTGCATCTAAATCTCATAGAAACAATCGATTGTAATCTTGAATTTTTTGACATCGCGTAATACACGATTTATGTTGTTGTGGATATTTATTAGCAGTCTAAAAGATGCCACATTATACTAATCTCACTTTGTTCGCGGGACGAATTACATTATCTGGTAGTAGATGCGAGCTTGTAAGACTGGATGGTAGGTGTGTCGGTTACAAGATAAAATCCGAGGTAAACGTCTTACGGCTGCTTATTTAACCTTTGGACGAGTTTAGAGACACGTATACGTGTAGTTAACTTTCAAACGACAGAGAAATAATGAGTCGTGTTAATAGAGGTGCACTCAGCGTGATTGATGAAACTGATAGATAGAATACTATTTCCGAGTCAGGGGTCTCCAGAGCGCGTGAATGATGACAGCTTTTAACGGAGGAATACGAATGCTAAAAAGTAAAATAAACGATCGCGCATCTTCAGTGCGGAAGATATCGCCATGTATGAACGTTCGCTTAACTTTTCGCCGAGCAGGTTTTTATCAGCTCTGCGATTAATTTAAAACATCCTGGATTACTCATAAATTACGGCAAGCACACTTTGGTTAATTTAAATTTTAAAACGAGTATATAATATATATTTCTCTCCAAGACGACTGCGGCTGTATCTTGCCAAAACAACGAATCTAATACCGTGTTTTTAAATTAAAATTAAGGAATACGGGTGGTCGGTATTAATTGTCGAAAAATGCGGAATCCTCTTACACGAGACGCACAAGAAGAAACTGCCAACGCAAAAAAGATCGCGAGAACAAATTTTGGAATCGATACTCATCCCGTACGTGTATTGTCTGCAATGTAGTTACTTCCACTTTCAAAGATTGATGATATTATTTGTTGAAGAGTCCTCGTCGTGCCATCTCATGATTAAAGAATACGTTTCCGTCATTTTTCTATAATATATTCTATGCGTCACGAAAAAAAAAGCGGAAAAAAACGTGAGCGGCCAGAATGATCTCACGCAAAACCGAGAGCATCGTTTCGCGGACAGTGAAATTTTGCAATCTTACGTGCGGTGAAACGTCTTGGAATTGACTGCCCTCAAGGCACCAGGCATTGTCGATTTTTACCTACGCGACCTACGTTTCCGACTTTGCCCGGTGATGACTCCTAATTGCAAGATAGTCTGCACGCAACGCGTATTTGAGGCACGCATCTCGT